TAGGGAAGACCGAGTCCTTTGTATTAGGTAACTATAACAATTTCAGCTGCATTTCTGCCCGGTAGCCAAATGCACACGTCTTTCCGTCGCAGAACTGTTTCGGCTTTTCTGTATTTCTGATAACTGAAGACTTGTGTGAAGAGGGGCAAGGTGAAGAGACGGTCCAAGGATGTAACAAACAGGCAACATAAAGAAACCCAGAATCGAGCATAATACCACCGACCGAAAAGGAAACAAAACCCCCGCTGAAGTGGTGGAGGCAAATACACCCCTCCCAAAAAATAGCCTTCCAGAGTGCCGTCCCATCTGCATTGTTCTGTGGCTTCATTTTGAAATGTGCACTTCTAGTGATCCCAGCACTATAGCTACTCCCTATATCTATCATTTTCCCCTCATTATTTTAATTCTTTTCTCAATCTGTTTTGGAGTTGGCCCAATAAGGATGAGCAAATCCTTCTCTATGTCTTTGAGCTCTTAATTGATATTTCTTCAACTCTTTTCAAAGCAGCTATTTTGGCATCTAGAAAAGATTTGGTGTCATCTGAGTGGTAGAAAATATATTTTAATCTTTCACAGCAGTGTTGTTTCTAAGATGTAGCATTTGGGGTAACAGATGGGGTGGCAAAGAAGTTGCCTATAGGGGCAGTGCTCTGCCTCAACTACTCTCCCGCCCGCTGCAGGAACTTTTCAATTAAACGATGAAAGATTTTGCAGCTTGATGCATTCCAGAGCTGCGTCTTAGCAATTGTTTAGCACCCAAATTTCCATGTAAATATTGACGGTTTTGCAGCATTTTGAAAAGCAATCTACAAGAATATTCTCGCTCTCGCTAGCGCCTTCCCCCAAGGCAGAGGCGTGCTCCGCTTCGGCTGTCCCGGGACATTCACCGCAGCTGGCCCCTCGTGGGGAGGGGTGTCCCCCTCGGGGGCACGGACATTGCAGCGCCAAGTCCAGTATGACCAGGCCCTCAGGACTGACAGACTGACATGGTCTGAGGTTTCTGGATGTGCAAAGACACCCTGCTCATGAGCAGAGCTTCTCTGTGCTTCGATGCCGAGGAGGTGGGCGATGGCAGAGCGCGTCGCCAGCCCTACACAGGCAGGACGGTGGGGAACGTCCCTCTCTGACACTGTGGAGCTGCCTTCCTCCGTCTGCAGGATGTTCCTACCTGCCAGGTGCAGGAGAAGTCATTATGCAGTGTAATCCTCCATGCTCCCCCCCAGATCAGTCTTCCTGCTCCTGGCCAAACGTACAATCCCATCCCCAATATGAGAGTACTGTTTCACGCTGTTTAATTAACCAATCCTTTGTCATCTCTTAAAGGTGTAAGTCTTCTTTTTTTATTTTCTTGCTAGGCACTGACATGAACTGGCCTAACTTTTCAGCATTTTAAATGACATTTCCCTTTAATGGTAGCATTATATGTTTTTATTAACAGTTGCACGAGTATATGCTGTGTTTGGGCGATGATATACAGGCTGTATTGTTTAAGAGTGACCTCTCTGCTTTTTCCTTAACGTAGCCTTTAGGTTTGTATTTCTTTTATTAGAACAGTTGACCACTGCACCTCCAAATCTGATAGCCTTTGTATTTAATAACTTATATTTAAAATCAAGTCTCTTTATTTCTAAACAGGGCTGGTTTAGTCCTGGCCAGGTCTTTGTGCTAGATGAGTATTGTGCACGTAATGGAGTGAGAGGCTGTCACAGACATCTCTGCTACCTCAGAGATTTGCTAGAGCGCGCAGAAAACGGAGCTATGATTGACCCCACCTTACTTCACTACAGCTTTGCCTTTTGTGCATCACATGTTCATGGCAACAGGTAAGGAATTCTTCTTGGCTAGCAGCTCCCTGCCAGCAAGGGATGACTTTGTCAAACATAGGTTTCCTTGGATAATGCACAACAGCCCCCAATTTGTTTTCACAGTGGATGTTTGGCAGCAGCGCTTCTAGTGGCATAGTCAGTTTGTTTGTTTGTTTCGGTGCTTGTTTAATGTAAGCAGTAAAAATGCACGTAGAGGATCCAGAAATGAGGGGTTTTAACTTTCTTCCCCAGGCACCTGCTGGGTGCTGTTCTGGACGAGGTAGAGTTGACGTACCTGTGACTCTCACGGGTTGAATACACGATAAACCGTGCTGGCTTAAGGGCTGCGCGAGGGGATCTGACGAGTTGCAGCAGTACCAAACTTCAGTGTTCAGGAGGGCTTTAAGCCCTCGGGCACCCGCTGAAAGTCCGTGTGATGTCAGTTCAGAAATTGCTTAGACATAACCTAAAATTTATCTCTCTCTGTTGCAAAACAGTTTCAATTTCAGAAGGTGCCCATTCCTTTCTCTCAAATGTGGCAACTCTTTGGTGGGAGGAACTGGAGCTGTGCTTTTTCCTGTTCTATTTATTTTGTTGACGGCTGTAGCATCTATTGCAGCGTCTTTTCTGCTGTTTTATCTGTTAAGTTGCGTTATATACTCTGAGATAGCTCTCTCTGTCCTGCATATGCTGCTGAAGAAAGGAATGTTATAAAATAATTACGTGTTTTCACAAACCCTCTGGTAAATACCACCCCGAATTGTGACACACATTGCCCAGGTTTCACGTTGCAAAGCTGCCGCTTGCTTTTGCAGTTACTTTCATACATCTTGTCATGGAAACCGAGTTTTTGCTTCTTAGTTTCTTTTTTAGTTCTGACTTTCTTTTGCTCGTTGGTTCCTTCTTTGCCAATTGTTACTTGATTTCATTTGTATCCTTTCATTTCAGTTTCCTTTTGTTTCATTTTGAGTTTTTTCATGCTTTCTTCTTGTTTCTTTCACTTTTGCTGCTGGCCTTGCCCCCCCCACGTTTCAATCGCTCCCCCAAAGCCAACACATGGCAGAATTACTTGGTGGGTCACAGCCAAGTGCAGACGGCGAGGGGGGCAAAGTGTCTCATGCCTCTGCTGCTGAAGCGGAGACAAAAAAGGATTCCAAAAAGGAGTCCAAAAAAAGGAAAGATTCCAAATCCCAGCCGAATCCAGAGCCGAAAAGGTAAGCAAAAGCGTGCAGTGCACAGAAGTGTGTTGGAGAGGGCACCGGGCTCCTCGGTCACGGAGCACACTGGGCAGGGTGGGTCCCTGCGGCACGGGGAGACCCGCTGTGGCACTTGGCATTCGGGTCGGACACTCTCCTGGGAGTTGGATGGCATTTGGGCACCCAAGTCCCATAGTGGGTCAGGGCATTGATTTTTTTAGGTGTGTGTTTAGGAGGTGGCTGACATATCGTGCAGGGCTGCAGACTGGGCAGGGAAAGCGGGCTGCCCCCATCAACCCTCTTCCATAGCCAGCTTATCCCGGCAGGAGGCGGTTTTGGGGACAGGACTGTAATGGCCCATAATGACAAAGGGGTTGGATGCTGGTCGTGGCTACTCTGTGTACATCTTCACGGGGTCCAGTATAGTGAGAGCTGGAGTCTGCTTCTCATCGGGTCAGCGGCAGGAGGTGTCTGATGGGACTGGCCATCAGATACCTGTGGGGCCAGAGAGTTGTGGGCTCAGGAAAATGTCTTGCTTTGGAACCCGTGCGGAGTGTCGACCCCAGTGCCATGCCTGTACGGCTTCCCGGGATGGCGTGGGGCTGCTGTGCCATGCCAGGGACCTTTGGGTTCTGCCAAAGGGGCAACCTGGCCACAGCCAGGCTATTCGTTTGTTTAAAATACTTGGAGGAAGGAATGAGATGTTTTCCCATGACTTAGCTGTCTTTAGCTGTCTTTAGCTGATGGCCGACTTCACATTGGAGGGCTGAAGGTTCATATTCCCTCTTGGTCGCTGCCATCTCTCTGTTGCCCGGGGATGACAGGAGCTGCAAGGCTGTGGGATTGCGCCTTCTGACTGAGGGCAGGCTCTGCCTAACGCCCGGAGCCGGAGGAGGTTGGTACGGAGACTGCAGGATGCAGCTTCTAGCCCCTGTGGGGAGGGCACAGAAAGGGACCACAGGGGGTCTGAGTGAAAACACAGCTCTGTATCTCTCGTGTCTACTATCAGAAATCTGAATATCTGAGCAGAAGAGTCACGATTTCTTTTCAGAAAGCTGCTGAGGCCGCGTGCGTCAGTATTCATGAGCTGGCTGGCAGGGAGTGACGGGAAGCCGACACGTACCCGCGCGGTCCTTGCTGGCAGTCACGATGCGTGTAGAGCCGAGTTCGCCTTTGCTACGTCCCTTCCTCCCAGCTGCCACGGCCGTACGTTGCTCGGGTGCCTTAGGGCTGGCCATACTTCCCCGGGGAAACCTATAGCTCATGGCAGAGCTGCAAACTTCCCGTGTAAAATTTGTGGAGGCAGGAACGCGCCTGCCCTGGGAGCCAGCACAGCCTCCGACGGAGCGTCTTGGAGCAGCCCTGCGGCGTGCGTTGCGTTGTTAGTGGTGTGCGCGGTGGTCTGGGAAAAATTCAAGTTATGAGATGGTTTTTTCTGTTTAACAAAGGCTGCTTCTTCTGTCTAATCTGAGAAAGTGTTGGTGGTCTTCGTAAAATGAAGTTTCTTCAGACAGTAAAACAAAAAAACCCACAACGGGTGGTTTAGCTTTCTCCAGAATGAGGTTGGCTGTCAGTCAGAATATGCCACCCGGTAATGAAGGTCGAGCAGGGAGATAATTCCATGTGGCTATCAATCTCCTGTATTAGCGGCAGACAGTGATGGAGCTGAGGTGGGCTGTCTGTTTGTATCGTGTTTGCGTAAGGTCAGGCGGCGAGACAACAGTCGCTCGC